AATGGTTATAAGGATGATTGGTTCAGTGGACTGAGCAGCAGCCTGTTAACCAAAGGATGCTCAGAAACATAAAAAAAGACATCAAAATCGTAAAAAAGGACCAGACAGAAAAGCATAATGCAATATGTGAAATAAATAATATATTGGAAGGAATAAACAGTAGGTTAGATGAAGCAGAGTATCGAATCAGCAATTTGGAAGACAAGGTTGGAAAAAACACCCAGTCAGAGGGGCAAAAAGAAAAAAATAATTTTAAAAAAATGAAGATAGTTTAAGGGACCCTTGCAAAATAGGAAGTGTACAATATCTGTATCATAGGGATACCAGAAGGAGAAGAGAGGTAGGAAGGGATTAAGAACCTATTTGAAGAAAAAAAATGACCGAAAACATCTCTAACCTGGTGAAGGAAAAATACACACATATTCAGGAAATGCAGAGAGTCGCAGACAAGATGGACATAAAGAGATCTACACCAAGACACATCATAACTAAAATGGCAAAGCTTAAAGACAAAGGAGAGAATCTGAAAAGCTGCAAGAGAAAAGCAGTTAGTTACCTACAAGGCAGCTCCCATAAGATTGTCACCTGATTTTTCAACAAAAACATTTCAGGCCAGAAGAGATTGCCATGAAATATTCAAAGTGATGGGAAAAAAGCAAGGACCTACAACCAAGGCTACTTTACCCAGCAAGGCTATCATTTAAAATCAAAGGAGAAATAAAGGGCTTACCAGACAAGGAAAAGCTAAAGAGTTTGTTACCACCAAACCAGTATTGCAACAAATGTTAAAGGGCTTACTTGGAAGAGAAAGAGGTGGAGGAGAAGGAGGAGGAAGAGTAAGAGGAGGAGGAGAGGGGGAAGAAGGTGAAGGAGAGGAGAAGAAAGAGGAGGAGGAGAAGGAGGAGAAGTAGGAGGAGAAGGAGGAGAAGTAGAAGGAGAAGGAGAAGAAGAGGAAGAAGGAGGAGGAGAAGGAGGAAGACAAGAAGGAAGACAAGAAGAAGGAGGAGGAGAAGAAAAGAAAGGGGGAGGAGGAGGAGGAAGAGAAGAAAGAGGGAGAGAAGGAGGAGGAGAAGAAGAAAAGAAGGAGGAGGAAACAGAAATATAGTAAAAAAATAAAATGGCTATATATATATATATATATATATATATATATATATATCAATAATCACTTTAAATGTAAATGACAAATGCTCCAATCAAAAGACATACGGTAGCTGAATGGATAAGAAAACAAGACCCATATATATGCTCTCTTCTAGAGACCCACTTCAGGATGAAAGATACACACAAAGTAAAGGGATGAAAAAAGATTTTCCATACAAACAGAAACGGGAAAAAAAGCTGAAGTAGCCACACCTATATCTGACAAAGTAGACTTTAAAACAAAGGTTACAATAAGAGACAAAGAAGGACACTACATAATGATAAAGAGAACAATCCAACAAGAGGATATAACCCTAGTAAACCTTTGTGTACCCAACATAAGAGCACCTACACACATAAAGCAAACCTTGATGGACATAAAGGGAGAGATTAATAGGAATATAGTCATAATTGAGGATTTTACTACCCTATAGACTTAAATAGCTAGATCTTCCACATAGAAAATCAACAAGGAGGTAGCAGCCTTAAATGACATGCTATGTAAATGGATTTAGTTGATACCTTCAAAGCATTTCATCCCAAAGCAGCAGAATATACATATTTTTCAAGTGCACATAGAGTGTTTTCTAGGATAGACCACATGTTGGGATACAAAACAAGTCTCAATACATTTAAGAAGATTGAGATTTTATCAAGCATCTTTTCTGACCATAGTGGTATGAAACCAGAAATCTGATTTCTGATTTCAAGAAGAAAACTGAAAAATACCCAAAGACACGGAAGCTAAATAACATGTTACTAAACGATGAATGGGTTAACAATGAGATCAAGAAAGAAATCAAAAGATACCTTGAAACAAATGAAAGTAAGAACACAACCCCAAATCTGTGGGACGCAGAAAACAGTTTTATGAGGGAAATTCATAGCATTACAAGCTTATTTCAAGAAACAAGAAAAGCTTAAATAAACAATCTAACTTTACACTTAAAGGAACTAGAAAAAGAACAACAAACAAAGCCCAAAGAGAGTAAAAGGAAGGAAATGATAAAGATCAGAGCAAAAATAAACAAAATAGAGTGTGAAAATAATAATACAAAAGATCAATGAATCCAAGAGCTGGTTCTTTGAAAAGATAAACAAGATTGACAAACCTTTAACCCAGCTCATTAAGAAAAAAAAGAGAGAGGATCCAAATAAATAAAATCAGAAATGAAACAAGAGAAGTAACAACTGATGCCAAAAAAATACAAAGGATTGTGAGAAGGTATTATGAACAACTGAGTGCCAACAAATTGGACAACCTGGACAAAAATGGATAAAATCCTAGAAACATACAATCTTCCAAAACTAAATAAAAAAGAATCAGAGAATCTGAATAGAGAGGTTACAACTAGTGAAATTGGAGCAACAATCAAAAAAACTCCCCAAAAAACAAAAGCCCTGGACTGGATGACTTTACAGGTGAATTTTACCAAACATTCCAAGAAGAATGAACACGTTTCCTTCTCAAACCTTTTCAAAAAAATTCAGAAGGTGACCAAGGTCATTTTAAGAGGCCAGCATTATCTTAATTCCAAAACCAGATAAAGACCCTACAAAGGAAGTAAATTATAGGCCGATATCTCCAATGAACATAGATACTAAAATCCTCAAGAAACTATTAGCAAATGGATTACAGCAGTACATCAAAAAGAGCATACACCATGATCAAGTGGGATTTATTCCAGGGATGCAAGGTTGGTGCAACATTTGCAAGTCGATAAACATGATACACCACATAAACAAAATGAAGGATAAAAACCACAGGATCATAAGAATAGATGCAGAAAAAAGCATTTGATAGAATCCAACACTTATTTATGATAAAAACTCTCAGCAAAGTGGCAATAGAGGGAACATACTTCAACATAATAAAGGCAGTATATGACAACCCACTGCCAGCATATACTCAATGGGCAAAAGCTATAAGCATTCCCCTTAAGATTGGGAACAAGACAGGGATGTCCACTTTTACCTCTCTTATTCAACATAGTACTGGAAGTCCTAGCCACAGCAATCAGACAGGAAGAAGAAATAAAAGGCATCCAAATTGGAAAGGAAGAAGTAAAACTGTCATTATTTGCAGATGACATGATATTATTTTTAGAGAACCCTGAAGATTCCTCTAAGAAACTACTAGAACTGATAAATGAATTTAGCAAAGTAGCAAGATACAAAATTAATATCCAGAAAACAGTTGCATTTTTATATGCCAATAATGAACTATCAGAAAGGGAAGTTAAGAAAATAATCCTATTCACAATAGTTTAAAAAGAATAAAATACCTAGGAATAAATTTAACTAAGAATGTAAAAGACCTGTATTTGGAAAATTATAAGATATGGAACAAAGAGACAAATAAATGGAAGATACAAATAAATGGTATTTGAACCATATAATGTGTTCATGGATAGAAAGAATTAACATCATTAAAATGTCCATCCTACCAAAGCAATCTACAGATTCCATGCAATTCCTATCAAGATGCCAATGACATATTTTACAGAATTAGAATAAAATATTTGAAAAACTTACATGGAACCACAAAAGGCCCTGAATAGCAACAGTAATCTTGAGAAAGAAAAACAAAGTTGGAGGGATCAAAGTTGGAGGGACTTGACATCAAACTACACTACAAGGCCATAGTAATCTAAACAGAATGGTACTGGCATAAAAATGGACACATAGATCAATGGAACAGAACAGATAGGCCAGAAATAAGTCCATGCCTTCATACTCCATTAATATTTGACAAAGGAAGCAAGCACATACAATGGGCTAAAGATAGTTTGCTCAATAAATGGTGTTGGGAAAATTGGACAGATATATGTGCAAAAATGAAACTAGACCACCTTCTTACACTACATACAAGAATAAATTCAAAATGGATTAAAGGCTTAAATATTAGACCCCAAACCATAAAAATCCTCGTTTTCAACCTTGTATCACATTAGAATCTCCTGGTGAACTTACATCCTGTTATCAGAATTCTCACTGAGCAGATCGGAGGCAGAGCCTCAGAAGGTACTTTGCTTTTATTTTGCTTTTAAGGGTCTTTCTCCCATGTAATTCTAATATGCAGCCAGTGTTGAAAACCACTGGAATAGAACAACTTTTTCAGGTATTTAAAATCTCAGATAACTTGCCTTCCCTTTACCCTTTCTCAGGAAGCTGCTAGAGAAGTACTCCTCTGAAATGAGGAAGTAATCAAGAAAGAGGAAAACACAGAATCTAGGAAACAAGGACTCTAGAATAGAAAATAGCAAAGGGCAGTCTCAGATGATAGGCAGCAGGAGCCTGAAAAGTAATCAGTCCAGACTGGAGCAGAAGTATGAAGGGCTCTAAGATATGGTTTCAGAGAGAAAAAAATAAATAAATACGATTAATGGATTATTTGATATATCTGATTATATATAGTGGGGTAAGAGAAGACAGTATTACATATATGACAAAATTGATATGCAATTGTAAAAAAGTAAGAATAGGTACATATAAAAATTACATATGTGATAAATGATGAAATTATTTTCTTCAAGAAAAAGTCAAGCTTTTCAGGACAGAAAAGCATGCACTATTTTGGCTATGCAGTTAACAATATTAACACAGTCAGAATGTGAATATTGATCCTTCACTGAAAATTATAATTATACTGAGGGTCTAGGATGAGGGAAAGCAAGGATATATATGTGTCTACATAAGAGTTAAACCAAAAAATTGCAAAATAGTGCTATAATACTAATTCCTGAAATAACAAGAGTTTAATGTATTTGGCTCCAAAAACGAGATGCAAAAAAATGAGAAAGTACTGTTTTTTTAGCTATATGCATGTGTTACTGTGTTAAAAGTTAAAAAAGAGGGTGCTTACTTTGGCAGCATATATACTGAAACTGGAACACACAGAGAAGATTAGCTTGGCCTCTGAATAAGGATGGCATGCAGATTTATGAAGTGTTCCATTTTTTTTTTAAGTTTAAAAGGACTAAGGCCAAAAAGAAGCTTACTAGTAATAATTCAATAGTTTTTTAAAAAAATTGATAATGGAATGTCAGCTTTTACTCAATAGATTAACAAAAGCTAAAACTTCTAGCATTACTAGTTAGGAAAGACAAAAGGAAATTCACAACTGGTAGGATAGTAAATGGGTACAGTAACTGTGGAAGGCAATTTAACAGTCTAGTAAAATTGAAAATGTGCACATACTATGACCTAGAAATTCATATTCATTCATGAGACAGAGGGATATCCATTGGAGCATTGCTTATAATATGGAAAAATTTTAAACAACCTAATTGTCTATTGACTGGAACATCACTAAATTCATTTTGTTGTTGTTATATATTTTTATTTTTTATTTTTATTTTTTGGCAATTTATTTATTTTTAAATTTTTCAAAAATCATGTTTATTCTATCACAATTGTCTCAATTTTTTCCCCTTCACCCCCCTCCACTGATCCCCCCCGCCCCCAGCTCCCACAGTCAATTCCCACTCTGTTGTCTATGTCCACGGGTCATTCATAGATTTCTTTGTCTAGTCCCTTCCTCTTCTTTCTATCATTGTCCCCTTTCCCCATCCCCTCCGGTCACTTTCGGTCTGCTCCATATTTCTATGCCTGTGGTTTATTTTGTTGAATAGATTCCACTTATAGGTGAGATCATATGGTATTTGTCTTTCACCAACTGGCTTATTTCACTTAGCATAATATTCTCCAGTTCCACCCATGTTGTCGCAAAAGGTAGGAGTTCCATCTCTCTCTCTTTCTTTCTTTCTTTCCTTTCTTCCTTCTTTCTTTTTTCTTTCCTTCTCTTTTTTTCTTTCTTAAATGCAGATTGATTTTATTTTTTAAATATCAAAGTTAATTATAAAATATTAAAAAATTTAAAACCATTATAAAGTCTCAGCAATTAAAACATGACACTAGCACAGAAATAATCAAGTAGATCAATGAAATACAATGAGCATTCTAGAGACAAACGTATATATCTGTCTAACAATGTAATATGATTAAATTGATATTTCAAATCAATGGGGAAAATAAGGCTCATTCAACAAATAAGGTGCACAGAAGACTATTACTTGAAATAAAACAAATACAGAGCCCTATTTCACACATTATACAAGAAATATTCAGGTGAGTTAAAAATCAATATGTAGAATCTAAGGAGTTTTAGGAGAAAATACAAAATAATATTTCTCTTACCCTGAAGTAAAATATTCAAACCCAGAAGCTATAAAGTAAAATATTGACAACATGACTATATTAAACATTTAAGACTATATAGTAATATACATATAAAAAGTAAAGGACAAATAATAGAATAGGGAAGTATTTGCCACACATCTAAAAAAGGGTTAATAGTTGGGGTTTTTTTAGGGAAAAATATTCTACAAACCTTTAATTGATAAATGGATAAAGAATACCTAAAGTCATTTAAGGCTTTTTAAAAATAGTAAAAATAGCCAAGTAATATATAAAAATAGGTTTAGCTTCAACAAATAAAAAAGGAACAATTTAAAAAACACATCATTGTTACAATCAGATTAATACGTATTAAAAAATATTGGTAATATCAAGTATTGACAACTAAAAGGTATTGGGTATTCATAGACTCTTTCTCTTCATCTTAAAGCAGTCCCTTTAGCATATTTTGCAGTGCTGGTTTGGTGGAGGTGTATTCTTTTAGCTTGATTTTGTCTGGAAAACTCCTTATTTCATCTTCCATTTGAATTGAGAGCCTTGCTGGGTAGAGCAGTCTAGGTTGCAGGCCTTTTCTTTTCATGACTTGGAATATTTCTGGCCACATCCTTCTGGTCTGCAGAGAAGTCAGCTGCTAGCCATAATGGGGCTCCCTTGTATGTTACTATCTCTTTCTCCCTTACTGCCTTTAGGATTCTCTGTTTGTCTTTGCTATTTGCCATTTTAATGATGATGTGTCTTGGAGTGGGCCTCATTGTGTTCCTCTTGAAGTGGACCCTCTGTGCTACCTGGACTTGTATGACTTTTTCTCTCCTCCAAATAGGGAAGTTTTCCATCATTACTTTTTCAAAAAGGTTCTCTGTCCCTTACTCCTCTTCTTCTCTTTCTGGTATCCCTATTAGATGGATATTATTACATTTCAGGTTGTCCTGCCTTTCCCTAAATGCCTCTTCATTCTTTCTGAGCCTTTTTTTTTTTTATTTTCTTGCTCTTTCTGAGAGCTTTTTTCTAACTTCTCCTCCAACTGGCTGACTCAGTCCTCTGCTTCATCTAGCCTGCTTTTGATTCCTTCTACTGTGTTCTTCAATCCAGAAATCGTATTCTTCATTTCCTCTTGTCTCTTATTGATAGTTTCTATGACCTTTTTCATGCTGATATAGTTTGCAGTAAGTTCCTTATAGTTTCTCTGTAGTTTTTGTAATTCTATCTGAGCTCACTGAGTTCATTGAGCCTCTTTATAACCATTGTTTGGAACTCAATATCCGATAGTTTACTTGCCTCTATTTCATTTAGTTCTCTTTGTGGGGATTCCTCTTTTCCCTTTAAGGGGGGGAGGGTATATTTCTTTGTCTTTCCATTATTTGTGAGATTCTTCTTTTTTCCTTCTGCTTCTTAAGTTGATCTGTCTTGATTTCCTGACTTTGTGGTATGAACTTCTATGGTAGAAGAGCGCTGTTTTTCTTTTTTCTGGATCTGCCTCTGATGATGTCAGATGTTGTCCCTGTCTGAGCTTAGGCAGTCTGTTCGAGACTTCCAGAAATCTACTGTTTGTGGCTGTCTCCTTCAGCTGTTAATCTAGTCACTCTGCACTCAGCAGGCCAGCTTAGGCAGCTCAGGGTGGGGCGGAGTCTCTCGTGGGGGTGGGGTTATTGGGTCCTCTGATGCTGCAGCCGCTCAGGGGAAGTAGTCTCTGCCTGAGCAAGATGGCTGCTGCCACATGGGGGATGAGTCAGCACCAAGTACTGCCAGCTACTCTCTCAGTTCTCTCCCCAAAGCCTCCTTCCCCAGTTTCTCCTCAGGCGCCTCTAGCCCACTCTGCCCCAACCTTTGCCAGAGACCAGGGTAAGTGGCTGCAAATAAAAATTTATGCGTTGGCCCTTTAAATGGCTCTTTGTATCTCCAGCCTCCTGTCTCTGGCAGAGAGCAACCTGCTGCTTTTCACAGCTGGCTATTTTCTGTGTACTTTTTGGACTCTGGTGCTGTAGGCTAGAGATTCCCGCTTTTGGTTTAGACCCCACTCCTCTCAGGGGGATCCAACTGGCTGTTTCAATATCCTCCTGGTGTTGCCACCCATGGGTGCCCCACCCACCTTCTTGCATCTCTACCACATTCCTTACCAGTTAGGTTGTGCTAAAGTCGATTCTTCTGTCTCCGAGGTTACAAGGGTCCTCTCTCGCTATTGTTCAGTTGTTTGTTCCAGGGGATTTCTCCACAATTTAGTTGTAATTCCAGGTTGGCCCTGGGAGGAGGTCAATATGACTTCCACTCACTCCTCTGCCATCTAGATTCTCTAAATTCACTTGTTTATTAAATATTTATTTAATGGCTGCTACATGTTAAACATTGTTCTGAAAACTGGAGAAATAGCAGTTAATAATAGACAAGAAAATCTTTGCTTTTTTTTCATGTAAAAAGAGTAGTTGTTCATGTAGCTTATATTCTTACAGAAGGAGACATGAAAAATAAATAAGTACTCAATATGTTAGATGGTAATAAGAGCTATGGAGAAAAACAAAGCTAGAAAGAGAGACAGAGTGTGTGTGACTTGCAAAAGGATGGTCAAGAAAATCCATATTGATATTTGGATAAAGACTTGAATGAAGTTAGCAAGCAAATCAAGTGAATATAGGTGGGGAGAAGAATGTGCCAAGCTTTTAAAATAAACAAAGTAGATCAATATATATCAACATAGATAGATTTCAAAAAGATAATGTTGAGTAAAAAAAGGCTGTAAATGAAAATGTACCACATGACATTATTCTAAAAATTGATTTATATGTAGGTAAAAGTGTAAAAAATGCAGGTGAAACTAAGAAGAAAAAATGCCAAATTAAAAATAGTTATTGGTTCTGGGGAAGAGAGAATTGGAATGGGGCTTGTGTAGGGTTGTCAAATGATATTTTAGCTTTATTGTAATGTTTTATTTCTTTGATATAAAACAATTGATTTCACTCAAGCGTAACAGACTCTTAGATATAATATGGGGGAGAATTGGAGATTTCGTTCCCTGGCATATATTGCCAGTTTGACTCACGTAAACACTTGTAAAAATTCCCTACAGGTTTAGATGTTTCTTCTGTTGAAATTTATTTGGAAGAGTCAGCACAATTCCAAAGAAGCCCACCCAAACCCACCCTGTGAACTGGGACCCAGTGCTAGGTAAAAGCAAGGGTCCACTGTGCTCTACCAGCTCCCTACCTCATTCATATCAGGTGAACTGGGGTGAGTTTTTCTTGGCATTTGGGACCTCCTTGCTTTAAATAGCAGGCCATGACTCTATATGAGCTGTTCTGAGAAAATCTTTGGGGTGGATAAGGGCTGGAATAACCCAGGTGAGCAAAAAGAGAAGGGAAAAAATGGGTGGTTGTGCTTAATTTTGCTTTTTAATTGGACTACTTACTGACAGTCTGAATAATACCTTTGCTGGTTAAATGAGAGATTGAACGTTTTCAGTTCTGAAAGAGAAAGGACACGTGCTTCCCCAACCCCAATGGCCAATGGGGTGAGAGTAGTTGTTCAGATCCCCAAATCCAGAGTGTTAGAGATGGGCACTGGAAGTCATCCAGTATGTAGCACAGCTGATATTGGAGAAGCCAGTGGTGGGAACCCCAGGGAGAAAGGCAGAGCATCCTAGAATGGGTTCACCTTCAGAGAGGGGCCTGAGAGAGGGTTCTGAACTTGGAAAGTGTCCAGGTTCGGGTGGAGTCCAGTAAACTCTCATTGGCCCTTGCTCAAGTATTCTTAGGTGACTAAAAATCTTTGTGGGA